CTTTGTTTACTGGCACTTAATCAGTTTGGTATTTGATGTCAGGTACTAACTGTGTGCTTTGACGAGACCTAGACATTGCCTTGTGTAATTCCTTATTAAAAATGAAACAGTAAGTGGAATTCTAATTTGTATGGGTCATTCATATTGATACCACCCATGTCTAATTCCATACTGTTTTCATGCCTTAAGCAGTCCTGGGTTTCCATTGCACTTCTCGTTTTTGAGCAATCGAAATTAGAATGTCTTAAAACTTGACCACTTGATGATTCTCCGTGCATGACTTCTTCTGTATGTCAAATGGAGTTACCTGATTCTGGCCTCCTTTGAAATGCTTTCAGAAGTTTCCACACATATATTCCGTTCTTTTCCTTCGGTAATGTGCAGTTTTGAAACAAAATGGTGGTCAGAAAATGTTGGTGTAGACTAAATCTTCTGTATTTTTAAGAAGTGATGCCTCCAAATATGTCACTCTTCTTCTCTTCCTTATTAGTATCACTGTGTCTAGAAAACATGCCTTTGAATTAGGAAAAATAGAGAACCTATTACTGATCCTAGATTATTTATGGGGTGGTAGTGAATCATTATCAGGCCTGGTAAATGTGATAGTGGAATTTTAGATTGAAGTGTTATAATTAAGTCATCCTCCAATTTACTTATTTTAGTGACAGTTCATTAGTATGTTCTGGTGCTTTTAAGAAGCTCTAATTAAGAGAGTGTCATGATAATAGTGGGATCATAATTATATGCATTTAATTATATTAAAGCCAAATATTTAGCTTTGTATCAATATTTTTCAGAAGTCTAAAATAAGCCCTCTTGGTCACACTGGCTGATTTTCTTAATACTGTGAAATTTAGGGACTAATCTTATGCACAATAGTACATAGTCATGATCTGTCTTCTCTTTGGGACTTTCTTGGTGCTGTCATCCATGCAAAGCATAGAATGTGGTTTGCCATTAAAAAGATCACCTTGGCCAGGTGAATTGATGTCAAGCTCTGGGTAGCCCTAAATTTTTGTGTCTAACGTCATGGTCATTAACTAAACAAATAGGAGAATGTAGGCAAAGACTTAGCTCAAATAGAATGAATATTTTAGAACAAACGAAACAGTACATTCTTTATGGTGCTAAAGTAAAGCATCTGTAGGATATAGTTAGTGTTAGGCTTTATATTTATTTCTTGCTTTTCTCTCTCCTTAGAAAACAATCGGAGTAATTTAAAAAATTGCACTAGTTTTAATAAAATAGGCTCTCTTAATTCTTTCCCTACTGTTGCAGTTAATTTAGGCAATGTCAGTCTGTTACTGTTAGAATTGCTATTCAACTGAAAATGTATTATAATGTGCTGCACACATAAAAAATTACATTATAATGAGCAAAACCGAGCTAAACATAATTGTGCCTGAAACAGCACTGTGACAGGAAGTGTCTCCTGTAATGGTGATGATTTCCATATCAGTGATAATTTTGTTGTCTGATTTGCATTGTCTTCTTCTTGCTGCCATATTGATGCACAGAATGTGTCCATCCATTCCTGGGAGATATATAGATGCCAAAAAAAAATGTAGTTAACTCCCTCTCCCATTCCTAGAAAAATCTTAAGTAATCAAAAACTAAAACAGATGACAGCAACCAAATTGTATCCCCCAAGGCTGCACCTCCCTGCTTCCCACCCTCCCCCCTCCCCCCAGCTCCCTTTCATAGGTTTATGTACTTGCTGGAGGCAACTTTCCAAAACATCTTAATGGCCTCAACTCTCAGGATAAAAACATTTAACCATCTCTGCTATTAGCCAGTGCCTGCTGGGTCTCAGAGGTGTATTGTCATTGTTGGGCCAGCCATCTCTAATACAGATGAATAGAGCTTTAAACCTCTCATATATGCAAAGGAGAAAAAGGAAGGGAAGCATTAGTTCTTATTCATTGGTGTATCACCAGTCTCTTCAGCTCTTAGAGAAACTTCAGATGGATTCTGATCCCAGATTCTGGATAAGTGGGCAAGATGAAAAAAAAGAAAATACAGAAGTTGCAAAACCTACTCATGACATAGAGGAGTTCGTCTGCTTCCCTGGCCCTTTTCTCCCTTCTGTTTCAGTACAGCAACTACTTATTAAACATTTGCTATGTGCAAAGTATCGTGCAAGGCATGAAGGGATTCCCAAGGGACTAAAATTGCCTCCAGTTCTTCAATGGGTCAGTTGGCAATGAGTTGTGTACTCAAATATTCACAAGGAAAAACTCTGAAAATCACATTTGGGAAAATGTGTCTACAATGGTGTATCTTTTATGTCAAGTTCAAGAACTATATAGATATTTTGAAACAAAAACTGCTGCAAGAGATGATAGAAACAGAGGGTTGTTTCTTTTTTTTTTTTAACTAAAACACACTATACACTCTGCATTGCTCCATCATACCTTCTACGCTTATAGAGTTTGAAAAAGCATCTCTCTCAGAATGTGAATTCTCCTTTATCAGAAGTTAAGAAAACATCCAGTTACTTATGGATGCAATTTTAGTGGTTGCAAATGGCTTGATTTGCAGTCCATGTGGTTCCTGGTTCTCTAGCATTGGTTGTAAGTCAGAATTCCTCAAGTCTGGAATACCCGTATCAGAACTCACAGCTTCTCTTCACTCTTCATTTGGCCCAAGAAAAAATGTCTTCCTTTGATGCCTTATCCATGCTTGTTCTTGAAGAGCCTGAAATTAAGTCCTCCATTAAGAGCAACCTCGGGCTGCACGTAGCCCAGTTCCAGGAAAAGCTTCAGCTGAAGCCACCCTCGGATCAGCCAATCAAAAGAAATGTGTAACATTCCTGTGGTCTGAGTCAGGGCTGGGAACTGCAGGTAGTTACTCTGTACAGTCTAGCCAATCACTTACCACTTGCCTAAACCCCACGTAGGCCCTTTGAGCTCACCTCATAATTGGTCATTTTCAAAGGATTCTCAAAGGTCATGATTGGGTCCAGCCAAAAGTAACGGACGCCACACAGACACTAAATGGTCAAAACTGTTACTATGGGTGCTGTACAATTATGATTGGTGCTTATGTGATGATGTAATACATACAACGTATGCACTGTAACACCCCTGTTCTTTACCCCATAAAAACCCTGCTCGGTATTGTTCGGGCTTCACCTTGCTGCCACGACACCGGTAGGCGGGTGAGCCCCTGCTCGAGCTTGTAATAAAGACCCTTTTGTATTTGCATCGGTGCCGGCTCCTTGGAGGTCTCTGGGGACTCGTGATTCGGGCACAATGTTCTAAAAAGAAACAAAGACTTTGCTGAAGTTTTGCCAGTTTTAGAGATATATGGATTCTGGCATCTAATTGCATCAGTGCAATAAAGAGTAACTCAAAACTTACCTCTCTCTTTATTTTTTAAACATTGATAGCAACACATCTTGGGTGACGAGTCCCTACAGCATTGTAAACCCAGTTGCAGTCTTTAGAATAGGGCAGTAAATTATTTATTTGAGTAAAAAGTCATAAGGATGTAAAAGCCCTAAATTCATTTCTGTGTGCATTTCTGACTTCACTTGAAGATGTTGGAGGAAGAAGGATCTATAGGTTGGGACTGAAAAAGGAGGAAGACATGGAAGGGCCTGAGTGAGTTTGGAAGGGAAGTTTTGAGCCTTCAAAGGAGCTCCTGACTTTGATATCCAAGGCTGAGCTTCTGCAGGGCTGAGGCTGGCATGGAAACTCCTAATGAGCCTTAAGCATGGGAAAAATTTCTGAGCCACACACATGAGCAATCCAAAGGGTATCTGAAGCACTTTCCATTTTAGGTTCTAAGGTAGTGGACAGATATAGACCCAAAAGGCATGAATGAATAACGCTGAGTCACAAAAGCAGGAAGGTTTTGATCACTGGATGGAGGACTAGCCAAAGAAAAGGAAAATGCTGCTTCAACTGCACATTAGCTCCAACAGAGCAAGAGAGATCTCCAGGCACCTTGGTAAAAGCGTGAGGAAAGAACAAAGAGAAAATTCCCAGGAAAAAGAGGTAACATTGATTGGACAGTTTGCATTGCATGAAACGCCTTTCATATCCTGTTCACATTTTGTCTTGTTTAGGGAACAGAGACACAGGAAATCTTTCAGAGGCAGACTTCGAACTCCAGTCACTTAAATCATCTTAGATTTTCTTCACCCTCAGTTCTATCACCATGGAGTTTTTAGGAACCTGCCTCTGGTAGCTGTGGGTGTGACATCAATTTCAGAAAAAGTATCCAAACAAAACAAAGCAAAAGAAATACCATGAATGTGTCCCAAGCAAGCATTGCTCCTCATTGGAGCCCCTGCTGCACCACTGCATCTTTCAGGGGACTTCACCCCTCTCTCTCCATGGCCTGGCAGCATCTGCTACTGCTGCTGAGTTTCCTGAGATTTGAAAAAAACTAAGTCCTACTCACACACCGCGGTGCTGAGATTTGATAGCATTGGGTTGTTTTTGTTTTGTTTTGTTTTTTACTAAGTGTAGTTGACACACAATGTTTCGTTAGTTTCAGGTATACAACATAGTGACTCCATGATTGTATACTGTATGCTTTGTTCACCACAAGTGTAGCTACCATATGTCACGATATTATTACTGTACTCCTATTACATTACCATTGACTATTCTCCTTATGCTGTACCTTTTACCCCCGTGTCTTGTCGAGAGAGCAAATGTTATTAAGACAATAGTGATCTCAGCTTAACTGATACATATCTTTTCCTTAGCACTGCATTTTCTTTTACCGGGTTGCACAGACCTTTGTCATTGAGCATCTTGGCACCTCTGTTCTTGTCTGTCCCGTGGTAGCTTGCATGTATACATTTTCTTTTGTAGTCAAGGACTGAATGAACTCAACCACAAACATGGGTTTGTGGGATAAAATTATTGATGGTACTTTAGCACAAATATTTACGCTTAGCAAGCATTTTAATATATGTTCTAACAAACTTTGGGCCCAGCGAAGGCAGGGAGAAAAGGCAACTGTGAGTTGAATTTCTCCTGCAGGACACCTTTGAGAAGGCGAGCCTGAGTAGCAGCAGCAGTGGGGGTGCCAGCCTGAAGAGCGAACTCTCAGAAAGCGCAGACCTGCCCCCCGAGGGCTTCCAGGCCTCCTGTGGTAAGGATGAAGACAGGGCCTGTGATGAAGTCCTGTCCGAGGAGAACTTCAACTTGGAAAATGTTGACAAAGGTATTTCTAGGGAAATGGTGACCACACGAATGCACCCTTGAATTGGGTCTGTTTCAAGGTTCATTTGCTCTGTCTTTATTCTGTTACTCTTTCATTCACCTGCAGACATGTACTCGGAGCTAGATGATGAGCTGGACATTTCGGACAACTCCAGCAGCTCTAGTTCGAGCCCTTTGAAAGAATCTACATTCAGTAAGTTTCCTTTACCGGCCTGCGGGGTTCCGGTAGGTCATGGTTTAGGAATCATGCTTGGGGGCGGGGTGACCGCCATCATATACGGAACGCGCCGGTTTATATCGCAGGTGCAGTGCTAACTAGGACAGATTCGTCTAGCCTTCAGGCAGGCCCAGAGGCCAACCTGCACTGTGGCCGGCTGTTGCCTCCTCTGTCAAATGAATAGTTTTATTATTTCTACCAGCAAATGCAGCTTGTAACGGGAATGGAGATAACTAATTTGGAGAAACACTAAATAACCACAGGAATAATGGAAGTGACCTCTTGTGAATCTGTTCTCTAAGTGTTAGAGAGCTCAAGAAGAAATTAGTCTTGGAGTGGACTAAGTTTTGTATGATTTTATTTATGTTATGTAAGGGATATATTTCAAACACTAAAGTAAAATAAATATCTTAATTGTTTAGTGCTATGAAAAATATGATATACAAATTCAGTCCATATGTTAATTTTGCCTCTTAATTTAAAACAATAAAGTAAATAGTCTGGGGTATGGGGTATGGAAAAGAAAATATATATTTGGATAAAATTTACAAGGAAGGATAGGATTCAATTCATTCAACAAATCTGAAACTGAAAGAAAAGAGAAGTTGAAATAGAATATGGAGAGGAAAGAATAATTCTTTTAAAAGAGTAAGTTGAAGGCATATTAATTAGGGTAGAAATATTTTGAATTTTTTTAATGTTTATTTATTTTTGAGAGAGAGACAGAATGTGAGCAGGCAAGGGGCAGAGAGAGAGGGAGACACAAAATCTGAAGCAGGCTCCAGGCTCTGAGCTGTCAACACAAAGCCCAACGCAGGGTTTGAACTCATGAACTGTGAGATCATGACCTGAGCTCAAGTCAGAGGCTCAACTGACTGAGCCATCCAGGCATCCCAGGGTAAGAATATTTTGAAATAAAGTTAGTATAAATAATTTCCTCTCATTAATGACTGTACTATGAAAATCTCATAAAAGAAAATCTGAAATAATCTCCCTAAGGATCAAAGTGAAAACCTAAGGACTGAGCTTCATTTTTCCCCCTTTCCGAGTTTAACTGTCTATCAAAATAGGGACTAGACCATAAAATCTGGAACAATCTCAGTTTCCAAAACTGATCTGTTTTTCCCTGCAAATTCCTGCCTGCTAGATAGAATATCCTGATACGTGATTGGGAAAACATGAATGTTATACAGGAAAAATATCCATGCATGTGTAGCAAATTCTAGAAGAAGTTAATTACTGGCTGTTCGGAGATGAATTCAACTTTGTATGTTCTGGGTAGCAATAGTGGGGAAGGTCAGGGGGGAAGTGAGGAAAGAGAAGTTGAACATTTGAACTTACATGTAGCAACTTGTAGCTGTCTTGACAAAGGCTGTAGAATAATTATGACATGGATATTTTATTATCCCTTCTTAGCTATTAGTAACAGAGTTGCCTTGTTTAGCACCTTTTCTTTGGAAAATGGACCTTACTCAATCCTGTTAAGTAAACAGTAATTTGAAACATTGTATTTCAATTGATGCTTTTATAAATAAGGACCATCTTTAGACTACATAAAATTACTCATGTAATAGGATGCAGCATTGGGTTTTTTTTTTTAATTAATAAATAGGTAAATAAATAAAATATTTGCAGAGGGAAAATATAAAGATATTTTTATGTTCTTGTTCCAGGCATTTTAAAGAGAAGTTTTAGTGCCTCAGGAGGAGAAAGACAATCCCAAACAAGGTACGTACACACTGAGCTCCCAGAGCTCTCCCGAGCTGAGTTATTGGTGGCTAAATTGAAACCTTGTAGCTAGAGGTCACCATGGACATGTGGTACTAGAGGCCGTCAGAGCCCACCCTCCCAGCACTGATTATGGTTTGCCAAGCAGCCAACTGGAAAGAGTACTAAGCTTAGAGGCTCCTGTGTGGCTCAATTGGTTGAGCATCCAACTTCAGCTCAGGTCATGATCTCGCTGTTCTTGAGTTTGAGCCCTGCATTGGACTCTGCTGTCAGTGTGGAGCCCACTTCAGATCCCCTGTCTCCTTCTCTCTCTGACCCCCACCCCCACCGCCGGTCAAAGTAAATAAATAAACATTAGAAAAGAGTACTAAGCTTGGATCAGGGTTTAATTCTAGCTTTGTAATCTTCAGCTAAGCAGTTAGCCTCTCGGAGCTCAGGGCTAGACCAGGGAAGTAGGTGGTTGTGTTTTATGAGGTCCTCTGGAGCCCTGGCTCCTTATATCTTGTTTGTCCGCCTCCGCGGGCTGTAGGGCTCATCCTCATGGCAGATGTGGCCAAAGCAGACCACATTACATCCACATCCCGGCCAGCAGGAGATAGAAAGGACGGACCCAGCATTGTGCTCATCCCTTCTGTTCATACCCTTGGCCAGAAAGTAATCATAGGAACACATCTAACTGCAAGGGAAGAAGAGTATGTTTGTTTGGGGGATTCTGTTTTAAAAGGAAAAAGAAACGTATTTGGGGATTATCAGCAGTTTCTGCAGGAGTTATCCCTTGGGCAAAAGACTACAATGAAACTATTAGGTTTGGCCCAGTGCAAGTCCCTGGGGACCTTCATGTGGGCAGTTTCCACAGCACTGAGTGAAGTTGGTAGCAGTGGAAGCTCGATTGTGGTGCTTTTACAAGTTACAGAGGCCATGATGAGCTACAAAGATTGAGGCAAAGATTGAGCTACATAGTTAGCTGGTAAGGGACCTTTGATAGTAAAGGGCCTTCTTAGAATCAGGATGACTTCAGGGTACCTGGGACTAAGGAGAGACAGCCGGTGGAGCGGAGAGATGAAGAGGGAAAAGGAGTTGGCAGGACACAGGCACAAAGTAGCTCGAGCCTAGAGAGTGGGCGTCTGGGAAAGATGAAGGGACAGCACTTTCTCTGTGTCTGAAGGAAGGGGGTGGGGCAAAGATAAAATTAAGCTAGAAAAGCAGAGAAGAAGGATATTAAAGAAGATTATACTTGGTGGTTTCTGCATACTAGATGATTTTCAAGGTTACTGCTGTGTAGATGGTCTAGACTTGAGGAGTGTGGTCAACTAGGAAGCACCAATATAAAGAAAGGCAGGCAGCTGAGTGGAGACAGCAGAAGGACTGAGTCAAAGACATGGCTGAGGCTAGATGCACATGAGGCAGTGGTTCTCAGCAGTCTGTGGAGCTGCGGGTGACCCTGGCCAGGGACGTGGTTGCATGTCATGTGACAAAAGGCTAAGGCTAAGGTGTGCATTCTCAGTTGGGCTTTCTGGATGCCAGCAAAAGAACGTGACTCTTGTCGACTTGTGCAACAGAGCTTTGTCAAATGGCTTTATGGGGGGGGGGGGGCACTCATGTAATTAGGAACCCAGAGTTCCTAAACTTAGGAAGGAATAAAAACCAGACGAACCCCTGAAGTCTCAGACTCAGGGCAGGGGATGAAGGAGCTCCCAGTTTGTTTTTTCCAACCATGTGTCACCTTTCTCAGGATTCCGTGTCCTACTAGAGAGAGCCCATTGGCCTGGGTTGAATCAGGATCCTTTTTGCTGCTGCAGGGAGAGCTGTGCTCCTTGATCGACCGCCCCTCCAAGTCCCTCAGGGGGTCCTTGCTGTGGGGAGCAGGGTGGGTACTGGGCGAACCCACTTCTGGGTACTGGGAAGATGAATTTCAAGATGAAGAGTCTGCCTCGCAAAATCCTGAAGGGGTGACTTAGGTGGTAAAGGAGGGTTCATGTAGAGAATCACTTTCTGTTTAGTCAAAGCTACAACGTCACAAATTAATTGTTGTTGTTGTTGTTTTTCCAAGTAAGGCTCAGGAAGGTTAGCATGAAGCCTTTCTATTTCCTAATTCCTTTCTAGTGTTGTTAGTGACAAAAACGCAAGAAAAACCTATCAGAGTGCATAAAATACCAGAAGGGTCGTCGAGGGAACCCTACAGGGTTTTTAGTGGGCCAACGTGCAGAGAAGTGGTGGTCAGAAGTAATGGAGAGGGCAGGGGAAAGAGAAACTGTCTCAAACCCCAGGAGAACCAGAGTGGGGAATTTAGAGGACTTGGGACTTGAATTCAGAGATCGCCCAAGGAGTCTCCAGGGCTTGTAGTTGCTTCCCGTTGCCTTCCTTCTGGCTTCTCGTCCCTAAGCCACCACCTCTGCTTTCCGCAGACAAAGAAGCCAACACACAGGAGCCTGGAGCCGGGGGAGCTCCAGGGGACAGGAGAGAGGGGCAGGGTTGGAAGGCGTGGCTGTAGAGCCGGGGTCTGCATGCGAGCTACCACAGAGTAGGTTTGTCGTCTTCAACTCCTGGGATCAGGGCTAGAAGCCCTGAACCACATCTCCAGTTCAATAGACTTTTGTGAGCTGACTGGAAATCAATCCAACTGCTTGGAACGGTATTTGCATAGGAAAATGTTCTACGAGTTCTCCTGCAAAATAACTAGCAAGCGCCCTCTGGAAGCTAGCTATTCTCGGGTTTCTGATTATATTTTTAAGAACATCACCAAGACACTTTTTTTTTTTTTTTACCTGTTATTGGATACTTTACTCAGTGATATAAATTTGCTGAAATGTACGGAAGACATGCAAAACAAGTAGTACAAAAATACATCAGGACATATGGGTTTAACTCCCCAATTAAAAGAGCTTTATATTAAAATGAGAATTTCCAATCAGATGAATTTAGGCATCTTGAACTTGTTAAATAATTCTAGTCTTTTTTTCTAAGAGGATTCATGGAAAATTGTCTTATTTGAAAGAACTCAGTTGAAGTCCAGACCTTCAAAAATAAAGGAAACATAGGTACTATGTATTTTAGAGCTTGAAATGGCTTTTAAAACTAGTTATTATCTAAACATTTTATAGTGAATTGGGTAAACTAGAATCAACAGAAAGGATAAGTTCAATCTGAAGCTCATTGGAAAAAGGAATATTACAGAGTATAATTACATTAACCCCTTTAGCTTGTGGTTAATGACCAAGTCAATGGGTGGAAATGGCCCAAATGTTGAGGTTGATGCATCAGAAGGTGCATTGGTGAATAGGACCAGAGCTAAAATAACATTTGAAACATTGTGCCGTGTGTGGTACAGCATAACATGCTGTCAGGGAACACAGGTTGGTTTAAGACAAACTCTCTTCCCTCAAGAACTCTGAGTGAAACAGGGAGACAAGAACAGACTTCAGGAGAAAATAAATGACAAAAGACAGCCTCTGATTCATGCCAAATGAGAGGAGAGACAATTAATGACTTTTCATGTCCTTCCAAGTAATTCCCAGAGCTTCTCTGAATTAAAGATCATTTGAAAATGTATTTCTAGTTCTTTAAATTAAAAGGCACTAAAACTAAAGTTATTTGCAGTCTAATTTGATTAGAGATTTTCTGGGTTTCTTGGTTTACAAAAGTGAGAGGTGGAACCATCCTACAAAATATTTAGAAGCTAAATGAGAAGTGAGAATCTAAACGATGATAACCAAGTTACATAATAGAAGATACTTAGAAGCTAAATGAGAAGTTAGAATCTAAAAGAAGATAGCAAAGCTATAAAATAGAATAAAAATAAATAGAAAATCAGGCCTGCAGAGATTTTGGGGTATTCCATGTCACGTATAAAATGGTAGGCCCAGTTACAGGGAGACCCAGGGCAGATCTCCTCCTTGGGGACCCTTATTGACTCTTGAAACAACAGAATCGGTACCATTGAGAAAAAGCCACAGAGTTTAGAATTCAGACTTGGTCCTGGCTAAATAGCTCAGAGAGAAAAATCAAGCATTAATTCTGAACTTCTGTCACCCCAGATATCAGGGACCAGATTTAAGCCAATTGCCTGCTGAAGTGTACCTCCCTGATAAATTGGCTTAGACTTGCAAATGGAGCTACAAGGACAGCTCTGCCTCCTCAGAGAAATACTGGTCTCAAGGCTGGTGAGAGGAATCATTGTATTAGAACTGGAAGGCATCCTGGTGATCCAGGGCATCATCAGGTTATGAAATTTTTTCAAGACTATAATTCATAGCAAGAGCAAGAGAACAAGTTCTCAACTCTTAGAAGTATATACTTCTATGAACTACTTAGAAGTGGCATGAAGCCAGGGGCGCCTGGGTGGCTTAGTCGGTTGAGCGTCCGACTTTCGCTTAGATCATGATCTCGCGGTTCATGGGTTCAAGCCCCGCGTCGGGCTCTGTGCTGACTGCCAGCTCAGAGCCTGGAGCCTGTTTCAGAGTCTGTATCTCCCTCTCTCTCTGACCCTCCCCCGCTCACGCTGTCTCTCTCTCTCCTAGAAAAAAAAAAAAAGTGGCATGAAGCCTTCAAGCAATTCCTTGGGGCTCCTTTTCTTGACAGATTCCTCCCTGTATCTCCTCCTCCATCCCCAAATCACCAAAAGTCCTAGAAACCAAACTCAGAGCTGAGGTCCCATATCAGTGGAGAGAGCCCCATTCCTCAGCTCTGAAACTGTAGCATTCATGAAGAAGAGGTGAATCTCCAAATCTCCATTCCCAGATCCCCAGACAGGAAATCTCCCTCAGTAGGATTCCATCCATGTGGCAGCCATTCCCAGGGTTCTCCTGACCCCCACCAACCCCCCCCCAAGAAAATCTGGAGATGTCAGTGTAGCGTTTTTGACATCACAGAAGTAGACTATGGGGAGCTTCTAACTGACCCACATTTCCTAACAATGAACAGGTCCTTCACACTGTATGTATATTCATGGAGCACAACTTGCTTTTAGGCTTTTAACTTACTAGAATAGACATTTGATTTTA